ACAGTAGAGTCTGAAATGAAGTCCTGGGATCATTCGTGGGGAACGCTGACCAAGATGGCCCAAAACAGACAGAGCTGGAGATCCTTTGTTGCTGCCCTAAACGCCAGATGGCGTAATGGGTAGTAAGTAAGTAAGTAAGGGGGTGAGTTGTTGTGGTTACCGTTGTTGTTGTAGTTGTCTTTTTTGTTTGCGCTTATTTTGTGCTTTCATCAACACAATTAAGACTTTCTGAAGGGCCATCGGCGTCGAACTTTCCCGTATCATGTAGTACGACGGAGGAGGAACTGGGTAATCAGAATCTCTCCCCCCAACCAACAACACCGCAATCGAGCTCTCGTCTTCTGTGGTCAAGACATCGGGCCTAGTCTTTACATAACAAATTACATCATAGACTCATGCAAAGCTATGGCTTAAGGAATCATAATATTTGTAATACAGTTTGAGCATAGAGCAGCACAGAACACTAAGGATTTAGAGAAATGTCAAAGAAAGCCGCACAATCTCAAGTTTCAAAGTGAAACAATAAGCAGAAATAATATTCATTATTGGGATCACAGTTGCCAACAAAAACTAATATTTGCCACCTTCTGGCGAGCCACAACAACAACAACAACAACAACAACAACAACAACAACAACAGCAACAACAACAACCAAAGCAAACTTCCAATTATTATTTGTAAAGACTCCCGGAGGCTCTCTCGACTCAACAGTAACTCCTCCGGAGAACCACTTTATTCTAATTTACCATTGCGGTCAATCAGTCAACATTACAGTCTGTTGGGCCCACAATACTGTGACTGTCATTCCAATGTGCCATCTCTTTATTCAATTATTGGGAAAACGGATCTAAACACAGGCCAGATTACTTAAAATTACAAGTCCTGATAAGTACCATAGATGTGTGAGACCAGTGCCTTACTTGCAATATCAAATCAGTCTCCGCTAGGTAAAAGCTACTTTATTCATGAAAGGCATGTAAGATCTAATGATAAATTATCGTAATTAGAGCAATTAGTAAGGTGAGGGACTTTGCTTGCACGCTCATACATCTGCAACATCCGTTCACAAATCAAAGAAAAAAGTCGTTATTGACAGAAGTATAAAGAAGACATTTTATTCGACTTGGCAGAAGGGCGTCAGCCGACAAGGGTGCCAATTAGTTTTCTTTTCGTTGGATTGGAAAATACCTTCAAGAGATGTAAGGATGTGGTGTAAATCCTGCTGTGTTTAAACTGATCCTAAGAATTGTTTCTCTCCCACCCAACAACTGTTTCCTCTTTTCCAGATGGAAAATACGTTAAAAAAATGGGGCGCAGGGGATTTAAAAATCATCATCATCATCATCATCATCATCATCATCATCATCATCATCATCATCATCATCATCATCCTCATCCTCATCATCATCATCATCATCATAATCATCATCATCATCATCATCATCATCATCATCATCATCATCATTAATCCCGAAGTCTCGTCGAACGTTCTGGATGCCTTGGATGCCTTTCCACTAATTTGATCTAATTAACTACTTTCGATTTATGGACTTGCTCAAAGCCTAAAGTACAAAAGCAAACCGTAAATTCTAACCATAACACACAACATTGCTGCTTATCGCAAGTCACTTACGTGACTATTAATAATATACTTGTATCATAATATCCAAGACTGGACACTCCTGGCGTAATTACGGAACACCATGGAGCGTTCTATTTGACTCTATTTGGAGCCAATAGAATACGGAAGGCAAAGAGAGGAACATTGTGCGTGCACTCGACAAAAGCAAGAATAACGTTTTTTGCCCTTCATTTGTGTACTCCTGGTGCTCATCAACATTACGAATTTGTTAAAGAGAACAAAGACGGCAGCCATGACAGTGCTTGATCTAGGATTACATTATTTTTCCAGTCAATGGCCCTGACTCAAACATAGTTCACATATTATCGTCTGGCTGAATTGATCAAGGGGGAGGAGAACTCGTCCTGTCACCATAGGTATAATCTCCGGCGGCAGAGACGCTAAAGCAATAGAACCTTCTGGCCGAAAAAAGCCCGTATGTATTGCTTACTCCCAAGCCACTACATCGTCGGTTCACGAAGATATGAATCACCCTTTGCCCATGGGCACACAAAAGCAGATCAAAGAGCCACAATGAAATTAAGTCTCATTTGGTTGGCAAATGACATAAATCAGGACACGCCGCTAAATGTCCCCAGACTGGGGCGAACACTCTCTATAAAAGTCAAACCGGGACTGAGAAAGAAGTCTCGGCGAGTTGCATGCCAAGCGCTTTATTGCCCACGTAAATTAAATATGTCAATACACAAGGCGGAGCGCGGGCTTCCCCGGGCCCCCAAATGTCAGCGCGGTAATTGTAAGGTCCAGAAGTAACGGAGAGTTAAAGAAACGCCGCGTCGCCACTCAATTCTTTAGTGGACCCTTTTATCCACCCTCTATCTTCCTCGGTCTCTCATTCACTCCACTCTCTCTCTCTCTCTCTCTCTCTCTCTCTCTCTCTCTCTCTCTCTCTCTCTCTCTCTCTCTCTCTCTCTCTCTCTCTCTCTCTCTCTCTAATCAGGAAACACTTTTCGAATTCTCTCTCCTTTCATCCTTCTTAAAAGTGTCCCTTTCTGTAGTTAGCGGTACCGCGTACATAATGTTACATCATTTAGGAGCCAGGTAGTTTCGACCCTGCCTGTTCAGGACCAACTCAGGCTGAGAGGGATAGATACAACCTCAGAGGAGGCAGATACAGTTACTCGATTTAAAAAATTAATCCTCCCCAGCTTAAAACATGCTTGCAGCTTACTTATCGTTAGCAAGCTGTTCAACTCTTCAAAGCCCTGAAAGCAAATATTTTCAGGAAGGATTAAAATAAACCAAACCAGTTTCCTCCTTTTAACAATTGTACCTTCTATACTGTAACTATTTGTTCCTGAAAAAAAAGGGAAGAGGAAGGCCACGCAGAAAGTGGATTGAGGGTGTCAAGGAAACCCTGAGAAAACATAATATTTGAAAGAGCTGCGGAGCTGGTCTACCATAAAAAACTGCATCTCCCCTTGGCTTGACGCTTAACGGCAACAGAGGATGAAAAAGTAAAGTTAAAGTAAGTGCCTACTATATGTATATTTTCTTTGCTTCCATCATCTAGAAGTTGACTTTCGACAAAATATTATTTTTCTAGTGCCTGTAACATATTACTACAGATTTCTT